TAAGAAGCAACAAGGGTACTGAAATAACAAGGGTAAAGTTCACCGATGTTTCACAGAAGATGGTTCTGGAAACGTTAAAGGCTTCCGGAATGGCCCCTTCCTTGGCATACACATGGGGAAACAGAGGTCTGGAGAAGAATGAGCATTGGAGAGCAAAGTCACATGGGAAATGGAGGTAGGCGGGGACCAGGCCCCCTTAGAGGGCTGCAATCACCGGGTCAGGGAATTGGCCGAGGGTTTAGCTTTGAAAGAAGCAGTGAGCCAGCCAAGTGTAGACTCTCCACAAGCTGCCCAGGAAAAGAGGGGAGAGGCCAGATATGGCACTGCAATCATCTGCCTATCTGACTGCCTTGGTGCCTCCGTCCTGCTGAGCTGAGCTCTTCAAGGATGGCACAGACTTGTTCTGCATCAGCGTCTCAGAGCTTGGCACAGGGCCTGGCAAATGCTCCCCACATGAACGAATGAGTAGGAGAGCTGGATGATCAGATCGCTTCCCTAAGAGGCTTCGGCCCAGTAAGAGCTGGTGGTGGAGGGCCACAGAAGAGAGGAAATAGGTGTGAAGATGATGTCTTGAGCCAGGCTATGGTAGATGTTACGACCTCCATTTTACAGGTGAGGAAACTGAGGCTCAGGAAGGTGTGGTCACAAAGGCAGGGGCATAGGGCCTGGGGCTCCCTGACGCCTCGCCTCTCAAGGTTTGCTCCAAGCCTACTCCCACCCACTGTTTGAATCCCAACACCCCAAAGAGGGACCAAGTGCTTCTGCATGAAGCCTCCAGCTATTGCTTGGCCAGGTTCCTCCCTTCCCAAGTAAGCCCACTCTATAATCAGTTTTTCTCAAGATACTGACTTCTCTCTCTCTGAAGCCTGCCAGACCAGTTGCCCCTCTTCTGGCTTTTGAGAAGACACCAGGGAGGAAGGGTGCTGGGCTGGGGCTAGACAAGCCCCTCTGAGTCCTGACCATCTTCCACCACTTGCTGAGTAGAGCACTCCTTAGTTCTTCCCTCTTTTCAGAATGGTGACCCTTTTACCCATTATGGGGTGGGTGGGGTGTGAGCAGGTGAGCTTTGTGCTGGATGCTGGGAGACTGGACACCGGTGACAACTATTCTCTGGCCTCCTTCCCTGTAGCTTTCCTTCCATCACCAGTCTCTGTCCCCCTCCCTTCCCACCTTCCTCCTGCCTTCACCTCCCCACCCACCATCACTCCTTAGATCCTCTTCTCCCTGGTCCCAACCAGCTGGACAGAGCAATGGCCTTCTCAACAGCCCTGCAGCTTTCACTGCTCCAATGCTGTCCTGGTCCTGGCTGAAAGAATCCCCACTTTAAAAATGCTGTTCTGATTGGGTTACCCCCTATTCCTGTCAGATCCCTGTTTGTGATGGGTCTAGTCAGCTGGAGACTGAAGAGTTCTCGGGACTGAGTTTTGGGACCTGTCACCAGCATGTCAGCCTTAGACCCCTGAGGACCTCCCAGTACAGTCCTCGAAGCTTTGAACAGCCTGACCTCTCTACCCAAAAGCCTTCCAGGGCTGATTCTAGGGCAGCCAGATATTGGTGACCCTTCATTTTACTTTCAGCCCATTTCTTTATCTGCAAAAACAGAGATGCTTGATGAAATGCTGAGAAATAACATCTCATTTATTATTCCACTGCTCATTTATATTTGTCCTCAGGTCCCAGCCTGACCATCAATCCTCCCCGGCCTGCATCAGATCCTGTTTGTCTCCTGTTATAGCATCTGCCACAACTCATAGTTTTATACATCTTGGTGGGATGATCTGCCCAATGTCCTGCCCTTTCCCATTAGCCTGGATGACTCCCAGATGGCAGGGACTTTCCACCTTGTCCATTGTGTGGCCCCCAGGCCTAGCCCTACAAGGATTCTGAAAGTACCCACTGACTGAATAACAATGCAGGCCCCCTTGAGGGATGGGAGGAACCCGGTGACTGCTAGGAGGAAGTCTGGTGAGCAGGAGTACCAGCACTAGTGCTAACACTCAACAGAGGGCTGAGTAAAGTGCTCTAGGCAAGTGATCTCCAGGCAGAGGGAAGAAGTCCAGGAAGGCTTCCTGACAGAGGCATATCTGGGCTCATTTGGTACACTGACTACAGCATAAAGCATATGCAGCCTGTCCTGCAAGGACGCTGCCACCTTCTCAGAGCTCAGTCACCTTCCTCAAGTGCATTCAGGAGAACTCTAAGATCCTAGGGAAAAGGATCCCCAGTATTTAGGGCCAGGTTGCAGTTTGCTCCAAAGACTACATTTGATCTATAAGGAAACTGATATCCAGAGCAGGGTGCAGACCAGTTCTGAAAGAAGCCCAGACCAATGCCTCATGGGGTCTTGTGGTTACCAGGTACGTGAGGAACCATTTCACACTAGAAGCCACAGCAACAGAGGGATTGCAGAGTCGGATTTTCTAAGGCTTGGTGCCCCTGCTCTTTTCCGGAAGAGGCATCTACTTTTCATGTTCCTGAAAGGTGTTTCAGGAACAGGAGGCAGAGTGCTGCCTGTGCTGCCTTGCCAAGGTGGAAAGCAGCACTGTTGGGCAGACAGAATGCTGATTTGGCAGTCACCTTGGGGGGTAGTGGGCTGCAGGCTCCCTGCTGGAAAGGGCCACAAATCTTTCAGAGGGAGGCCTGTTTGTAACTCTTAGGCAGGCTTGACCTACAACAGAAAGCTGTTTTCTGAGGGAGAGCAAAATAAACAATAATCTTGGCTTCATTTATCATCCAGGTGTCTCCACAGGAGAGTGGGGCCACAAATGCCTTTTTTGTTTTGCTTGTTTTGTTTTTGGAATTTGCAATTGTCTATTTTCTTAAGTCTTCCCCACTAGGTTAGAATCATGTGCTCCTGGAGTGTCAGGTCTGGGTCTTGCCCCTGAAATCCCCAGCAAGCCTAGTACAGGGGGTCAATGTTTGCTGAACAAACCATCCTTTCCACGTGTAGGACTCTTCACCTTGTCAAGACTTTGCTGAACCGTGAAATATATCCAGAAACCCAGAAGAGAAGAATTCAGAGATAAAAGCACAAAAGAATCAGATAGAAAATACTCAGCAGGTATAGTCAATAAAAGTTGAGTTCTTTGAAAATACTTTTGAAATGGACAAATCTTTGGCCAGTTTTGGTCAAGAAAAGAGGAAGCACTCACTGATCTGCAACACTAGGAATGAAAAAGGGGACAAACTGACAGTGGGGAGATTTAAAAGGGCAGGAGAAAACTGCACAAAATTTTACAGCAATAAATTAAAAGTCTAGGTAAAACATGTGACCTTCTATGAAATTACCAAAGCCCTTTCATAACTGTTATTTCAATAAACCCTTACAACAGCACTGTGCTTTGGACAGGCAGTGCTCCAGTTATGTTTTCTAGAAGGAAAAGACATTGAGAGGTGGACACCCAGCACAGGCCCCCGACAAGCTACTCACTCTGTCTCAAAGGTCACAGTCACAAGGAGCATGTGCCCATCAACGACAGGGACCCGCAACACTCTCGCACTTCCAGCCATCACCGTAAGCCCCCTGGTTGGAGGCCAGCCTTATTTATTTTTCCACTTGAAATGCCATAAGGGGTTTCACTTTATTTTTACTTCAAAAGCAGCACCATAAAAATCCTTGATGATTAGAGCTCCAGCTGTCCTAAGTTGTTTGTCAAGGGATCGGTTACTCAAATCTCCTATGGAGGGAAACAGTTTCAGGCGAGAAGCCATGGGAGCTGAGAAACACAAATGTCTCATCTCTAAAAACTTTGAGACTCCCTCCTGTTCACCGCCTGGCCTGCCCCCTGCTCCCCCTCCCCCAACCCCACCATCTGCTCTCCAGAGAGCAGATCAAATTTTCGGGCTAAGGTACTCTGGCGCCAAGGACTCAGCCCCTCCATGCTACCCTCCGTCCCCCACCAACTTAGAAATCCAACACCACGACCCAAATGGACTGCAGCCACATAAAACCACAAAGTAAAGTTTATAAAGCTTTATTAAACATTTCAAACAGCTGTGCAACGAACACACCAGAAATAAAAGCTCCAGAATGGCAGTCCAAATGTTCCACAAGTGTGGCCTCACGGTCCCATTCCCTAGATGGACTGCCTCCAGTTCTGTCCTCTGCCTGGCCCACCGCCCTTCCCACTCAGGCAAGAGAAGGATGGATGATTTAGACTGGACGGACAACCATGCTAGTCCCCGGTGGGCGGGGGCCAGGAGAAAGTCTCGTTTGCCAACACTTGTTACTGAAGCGCAGAAAAAGCAAAAAGCAAGTGACAGTCACAAAGTCTTCCTGTGTATTCTTCGTAATGTACAGTCTATATGCGCAGGACTGAAGGAGCTCCTGGCACGAGGATGATGGCCACTGCTCCTCTCTGTCTTGTCTGAACCACCTCGGAGTCCAGCGTGCTGGTCACCCTGCAATCCCCATGCTAAATAAAAACTGCAGCGGCACCTACTATAGCTAGCTAGCTATTGCTAAACCTCAAAATCAGAACACGTTCGATAAAGCTTCTTTAAAAGGAATATACACATGTATTTGTACACGCACACACACACATACACACACACTCACGGCACACCAAAATATATTCAAACACCTATCAAGGGGATCATGGCTGTTATGAAAAAACACACAAGTACTCTTCCATTCACTCAGCTGGGGACTGCTAGATCTACGTGGACACACCACACCTCAATCCTGCAGAGCATGCACAGGAGACACAATGAGGCCCCCCCTCCTCGGGACAGTTGAGAAAGGCAGGAGGAAGGGCAAAGAAAGCGAGGCTGGGCTGGTAAGCATGAGCCCAGAAACCCAGGTGAAAGAGCAACAAGCATCTGTTACTTCTTTCTTAAAAATGAAGTGGAGAAAATACTGGAGATCTGTGGACAACAAACAGTCAAGACATGTTTCTGTCTAGCCTGCTGACCGGGGAAAGAAGGATGAAAAAGCGAGGCTCTCGGGCGTCAGCAATCTCTTTAAATTCGAGATAAGTGCAAAAATGAGCCCTGTCTTGGACAGGTGCTCCCCCAAAAAGGAAAGGGGCGGAAGAGAACTAAAGGGAAACCAGGAGAGGGACTGAGGGGTTGGTAACATTCTGGGAAGGGAAGAGACCCTGACAAGGAGGGGTCACAGAGGTGACGAGACTGGCATTTTATCTGCCCAGGTCATGCCGGGACGGTTGACCAGGATGGGTGCAGACTCCTCGCAGGAATGAGGCGAGGGGGGTGACCATCCTGCCAGCCTTGGGGAGCAAGGGGAGGAACCGAGATGGGGACAGAACACACACAATCACAAGACCACCCACGACTATAGGACTCTACAATAAAAGCACCGGTCAGTGCCATTATTCACATTATAAGGATAAAACATCACAGGCCAAAAAAGGCGCCGTCAGGAATGTGGCACCCGCGGGGCTGCGGGATTTGAAACTCCAATGCTTTATGACCTATGTCAATGCCTCCCCTCCCATCTTCTGCTTCCTTGGAAAGCTAACAGGGCAGGCTGTTAGGTGCCCACAACGCCGGGGTCGTGCGCCGATTCCGGAAGCGGGGAATCAGAGCAGTGGTACAGGAAACAGTTTCCCCAGCAGCTATAGCAGATGAGGAACAGGGCTGCCAGGAAAACCAAGGCACAAATCGTGCAAGGCTTCCGCTCCAGAAGGAAGCTGAGCAGGTAGAAGCCCATGAACATGGAGTGGCTGAACCACAGGGCGGGGTTGAGGGGCTTGGGGATGAGGAGGACGGGCAGCAGCCACTGGAGGCAATACATGATCTCTGCCGGGCAGGGCCTTCACCAAGGCCACCGGGCACCGCTGCAGGAACCGACCCAATGGGAGCCAGCGGGCGCAGGCAGCTGCCCTCCGCTTTCTTCAACCCTCACTCTCCAGGAGCTGAGCCGCTGTGCTCTCTGGCTGTCAGCCCGGGATCACCAAGGCAGCAGGGATCCTGAAGAGAAAAGTCAACACAACAGACAAACAGACAAAAAACAGACAGACAGACAGACAGACAAAAAAAAAAAAAAAAAAAACAGGAACAGAATGTATACTTATTTGGGAAAATGGATCATGGTTAACAACAGCAAATGTGAATGCCCTTTCCTCCCTGCCCACCCATGGAAGTCTACTCCTCTCCACATCACCTGTCCAGGAAGCCTCCTGGGGTGTCTCCCCTAGGCTTGTCGGGGTTGGGCCAGAGGGCTCTTCGGGCAGGTCCGGCACAGTGGACTGGCTTTGCCTGGGCCCTGCCCAGCAGAGATCATGTATCGCCTCCTGGGGCTGCAGCCCGTCCTCAAGGGGCCCAGACCTCACAATACCGCCCTGTGGTTGCCATGGATGGCCATGGGCTCAGTGCTGTACCCCCAAGTAATAAGAATAGGATTCTGTATCTAGTATCTATCATAGCAGGTGCTCAGGGGAGAACTAGAGCAGCGTGCTGCCGGCTGGAGTTTGCAGGCAATGGATCTTTGCATGCTCTGCGAAGCTGCAGCGACGGCACTACCAAATATTTTGTTTTAAGATGGCAGCCCAGCATCATTTTGTCCAAACCAGCCAACTTCTTCGAAAGTCAACATGTTAAAAAAAAAAAAAAAAAAATCACCATGCTACTTCATCCACACTGACCTCGCTTGGATCACTTACACTTTCCATCTGCTGCTGGCAACCGTATAGAACCTGACCTCTGTGAGCTTTTAATCAAAATTAATTTTCTATCCACACAGGGGCAAATGCCAGTTGGCCCCTGTGCTAGGCAGCTTGCTGGAGAGGCGCTCTGGAGCAGCAGGCCACCAGTGCGCTGGGGCTGAGCTCCCAGACCGCGTTCAGGTCTTCCCGCTGTGCCTGGAAATGGAGCTGTGGCAGCCACAACCCTCTGGTGGCGGTAGCAAAACCCCATTCCAGGCTGCAGCCGCCCAGCGCAACGGGTACAAAGAGCCTCCTTGGCTGTGTTAAGACCTACCAGGGCCTGGGGGGAGGGGAGCAGAAGAGGGAGGCTGAAAAGACCTGTTCAGCAGAAAACTATCCCACAGCACTTTCCGACCACTTCTCGGTAAGCTCATCCCATTCCTTCCACGCACACAAAGGCACCAATCCCTCTTGCATCGCTCCCACAAGGTAGATACCCGGGGACTACCACTTTTGCGCCTAGAGCTCAATGCTCTGGCTCACTTTCCTACAATAGTCACCGTGGTAGTTACCGTACGAAGCGGGACGCGAGGAATGAGGGAAAGGTTATGTGCTCAGGGACTCTTGTGAAGCCGAGAATGTAGGCTTACAGCACATCAAATATTAGAAGAGTACTGACCAGGGGCCTGTGAAGCCAAGGCTCCAGGAAGGGGCACCTTTTATTTGCTCTGCGGGGCAGATGATCTCTAAGTTATGTTTTCCTGGTTTCCCACCCATGCCCAAGGTGGGTTCTGGCGCGTCACGGGACACTGGTCTTAAATTTGTAGGCCACGGCTC